GGCATCATGCTTGGTAAAGTGGAGGGTCGCTGAAAAAGAGGAAAACCTCCAAGGAGCTGGGTTAACACAGTGGTAACAGCAATGAGCTCAAATGTAATCATTGTGAGAGCGGTGAGGGAGTAGACCATGTTCTATTCTTTTCTACAAAAGGGCAGTAGGAATCAGAACTAACTTGATGACACCTAACAACTACAATAACAAGGTTGGACAGTGAATAAGAGGACCACAGAAGAAACAATGCATCTCAGTTATGGTGTTGGCAAAGAATATTGAAGTACCACGGACTGCCAGAAGTGCAAACAAAAGTTTAGGAAAAAGTGCAGCCAGATGCTCCTTAGAAGCCAGGATGGCAAGACTGTCTCTTATACCTTGGACATGTTGTCAGAAGGGACCAGTCCCTGGAGAAGAACATCATGCTTGGTAAATTGGAGCATCTACCAAAAAGAGGACCCTCAAATGATGGATTGATACAATGATGGACTCAAACATAACAATTGTGAGTATGGTACTATTTCGTTCTGCTACTAATAGGGTTGCTAAGATACAGAACCAACTCAATTGCACCTAACAACACTCGCATGGAATTCAAGCCTTATCTATGTCTTCGAAATTATGTGTCACATACTCAAAGAAGAATTCAATATTATATGTGGGGACATCAAAAAAATTTGTGAAAAAATGAAATGGAAAGATTTTTCCATGAACTTTTGAATCCCCTTTCTCATACTTCCATTTTATTTTCAAAGACAACTTTTCAACAGCATAATGAAGTGTTCATATTCTGTGATAAAAACATAGGAGAAGAATAGAATGATCTGAAAATTATCCAGGAGTTTGACTCCCTGAAGATATTGTTGATTTAGAAATACAAGGTTAGTAGTCCAGGAATGTAATGCCAAACAGCATTATTGTGAAGTACTTTGGCATATCAGAGTTAAAGATAGATTTGAGAAGACATCTAAAGCAGAATGGAAGGCACTGAATAATTAGAAGGTTTGAAACACATTAAAAGCAGCAAAAGTTTTATTATTGGATAAAGCAGAGCAGTGTCCTACTGGAAACATGTTTGTGATAAAAAATAATGACTATACTGTTGGCCTAAGGAGCTCTGGTAGTGTAGTGGTTACGAATCAGACTGCGTACCTCATGGTCAGCAGTTCGAAACTACCAGCTATTCCGTGGGAGAAAGATGAGACTTTCTGCTCCTGTGAAGATTTACAGCCTTGGAAACCCTGTACAGGGTCGTTATGAGTTGGAACCGACTCCATGACACATAACCACAACCACATACTGTTGGCCTACTATTATGTGCAATAAGGAGCCCTGGTGGTATTATGGAATAAGCACTGGACTGCTGACCATATGTCAGCAACTCTTGGCTCTGTAAAAGATGGAATTTTCTACTCCTGTGAAAATTTACAGCCTCATAAATCCAAAGGGACTATGAGTCACTTTGGTTCAGTTTTGGTATATTATGGGGAAAAGGAATTCTGGTGTTATTGTGGTATAAACATTGGGCTGCTAAACAAAAAGTCGGTGGTTCAAACCCACCAGGTGCTCCATATAAGAAAGATGAGTTTATTTGCTCCCGGAAAGATATATAGTCTCAGAAATCCTATATAGGGTTGGTATGGGCCAATCAACTCAATGAGAGTGGGTGCTTTAAATAATTGATCCACAAGTTTTCTCTGTATTTTACTTACAAGGCTTTTCAATTTGCTAAATTGATTGAAGCAGCATTTTTATCTGGGAATTGGATCCACAGAATTCCTGAGCCTCTTAAATTAATCTTACAATAAACTGTAGCAATGTAAAAAAATAATAGTATATATATATAATGTTGGCAGACCATGAGTCCTGATGTGGCACTGTGGGTTAATATGCTGGACTTCAAAATCAGTTTGAACCACAAGGTCAGTAGTTCAAGCTCACCAGCTGCACCTCAGAAACCCTATATTGGGTCGCTATGGGTTAGAACCGACTCTACAACACTTAAAACACCACAGCAACACCTAGGTAGTAGTCCTGGTGTGGCACTATAGGATAAGCACTCCACTGCAAGGTCGGTTTGAACCAAAAGGTTGTTGAACAGTTCAAACTCACCAGCTGCTCCTCGGAAACCCTATACAGGGTCACTATGA